CGGCAGCGTATAGGATCCCCAGAAGCCATGCAGCAGCATGCTCGAGCTCCGTCCTGGACCATAGTTTGGAGATCGCACGTGCTGCTGATGTTTTCATACGAAGCTGATGTTTGGTCTTTGGTGCGTCCCACCAATAACTACAGACTTTTGGTAACGGAGTCTTCAGCTAGCAACCAAAATTATTTGGCATTTGAAACGTGCGTCACCATTACAAACAGTGATACCGCCGCCCAATAGCTTTTGGTGTTGTCCTCTGGAGAGGAGCTGCCCCCCCCCATGATGATCCTTCCCCGGTTGAGCCCTCGAAATAGGGCTTCTTCCCTCGATCCATACAGATTTTGAAACTTCGCGCGCAGCCCTGTGATCTTTGTCGAGGTATTTTGTTCCCATTTTGCACTGATAACCCGCCGCTATCTTCCACTTTTGGCGTCGGAATACGTTGTTGTTGCGATGGAAAAGAAAAAAGTCGTATATTGGGAACTTTGGGTATAGAGGAATCACAACGACCTGTAAAGTTTTGCCTTCTCCCGAAAACTTAGCGTTAACTAACATGCATACATTGAAATTCACTTTGACCAAAGCCATGTCGGAGGACTCTACAAGACATATTTAACCATGTGCGCTATCCAGGCAGGCGGCCCAGCTCCAGAATATGGGGGTGTTCTGCTCTTGATCATTTTTTATGTGACAGACTTTGAGCTGGTACAATGCATCCCAAAGGCTTGCTTCTCCGCACTGCTTGTGCTGGGGGCCATGGATACATTCGTGGTATGGTACAACACTTGAAGCCTCATCAAGCTTCGAACCAGAGTATCATGTTCGTAGTATTGGATTGAATGGAATCATTCGATCCCTTCACATGATGTGACCCCACAAGCCGGCTGAGCACCCAACCCATGGGTGGAGACATCAGAACAAAAACCTGAGGATCCAAGACAGCAGTAAATTAGATTTGCTTGTCTCCAACAACAAGGAACCACGGTAGCAACGCTCCAGCTCATTCTTGCGGCGGAGTTATATTCGGCCAGCTATTCGGCCAAAGTCCCAAGCCTCAAGGACAATCGGCATTTCGGAGGCCATGAGGCCATGGCCATGAGCGTGTGCACCGGAGAAATAAATTAGGTACTAGTACCGGCAATGCTATAGCTACTCGTAATAGCTACTCGTAGAGCTCTACATTCTACATCGTAGAACTAGCTCCACCTATGCATAGTTCCGGGGATCTGAAAACAATGAAACAATTATTAAAAACTTTGTACGATGCTGCCAGGAAAAGTTTACACTCCGCTCGCTCACGGAAGCAGGTCAACCTTTGGCAACTGTCAATATGTCAAAGGGACATTTTCAACCTGGCCATCGAACAACCAGATGTCGCAAGCCTTTTCAAGCGTCTTTAGGGATTATCTCAAATGACAGGCGCATGCTCTTTAAATCATACCGCGACTACTGTACTGTACCGGTATCTGAGTCCCGCCAGCCAAGACGCCAGGACATCGCCGGGAAGGCGAAGTACATGTATCTTCCCGTACAGGTATGGTACTAGTAGGGTGTCTCGGGGTTGCAATATCGCAGGCTGTCTGAAACCTCCAACTAAAAGGTAGACTACCGGTAGCCGTACTAGCTTCACAGTGCAGTAATTGGCAGCAGGGCTGGACCCAAATGGGCAAGAGCTTCCCCGACCCAACCTCTTTTGGTGCGAGTGCCGAGAGCTAATAAACATCAACATGACTGCTCCGGCTGGCTTGAAAATTGAAAAATGACGACAGCGGATCAGCTACCGCAGCCAAGCAGAAGAATATTAACTTCTTGCACTGCTTTGTACCAGGGGTACCATACGCAGCGTTGGCCTATGACCAGTACCGGTACGGGTACGCCGTGAGCTAATGAAAGTCAGTTCCATACCTGTCCAGCAATAAATATTGTGGCTGCGTGGTCTGCCTTCTTATTCAAGGAGGTGCTGACCACTGTCTTGCGGTGCAACTGGCTGCTTCAAAGAAGTTCCAACTTACTTGTTGCCAACTGGCTACTTCAAAGAAGTTCCAACTTGCTTCCAATCGATTGAAAAAACATTCGTGGGACAGCTGAGGTGCGATGCTGCGAAACAGTTTCCACAAGAAACCTGACGAAAAATGACGTTGAGTCAAAACTATGCTACTTGTCGCCATCGTCTGGACCCATCAATCCCAATCTTCGCGGGTGCAACTGTGTTACCGTGTTTTCCACGATCTATGTTGCCAAGGAGGGAGACACCATCGGTGTGTATCCCGCAAACTCGTGAGGCAGACCATCTACGATCACTCAGTTGAAGGCTGACTGCCCTTAGTGGCTCTGGGGTTCTTTTCGCGCTACTGGGCGGAAGGCTGCCACGACCGCGATGATTTAAATCACATCTTCTCACATCAGTGCTCCCAAGGCTCCCCACAGAGCAATCCAGCGGTGCCTCGGACAGAAAAGATGTTAAGAAAAAGGAAGTATTAATCATGAGATAATTAGACTACCCGAGTACTCTTATTACATTGGTTCACTTTTGTTGTAGCATAGATCTAGCGTTAAAACACCCTCCTCGATCCGCTGCAACGTGTTTGACTTAGTGCACCTTGCAGGCCATACCAAACACTATCCCTTGATTGAGCGACATCTCGTCAGTTTGCATGTATCAGCTTCAACGCTGGCTTACCGTAGGAACAGTTGCATGCAATGTCTGGTGTAATATCGGTACCGGTATGATACCGTACGCAAACTACCGTATAATTAATTGGAGCTTGCTGGGTACCAGTTCTTTTTTCTCTTGACGTGGAGGCTTGGCTGCGTTGGCAGGAAGGGATTGTTCGCATTGTGAGGAGCCTGCGTCGGGCGCCACGCAAAGCCGGTGGTTAAGGCAAGGGTTCTTTTAACAACAGACTTGGCAAGAGAAGACCCTGACCTCATTTTGCGTAGATCTTATTCTCACGAAACCATGTACCCTTTAAATGAAAACGAGGAAGAAGAACCAAGTTTTCATCTGGGCTATGAGAGCGATATTTTGGGGGTACGCTGTGTCGGTGCGGAAGATTCGTGGTTCAGTACTCGCTTAGCTCTTGCTTATAAGATACTATTGGAAGTAAAGTTTCTACTTGTGGCAGCAGACTGAGGTGTTGGTTGGTTAACTTGCCAACAGTATTGGTAAGGTTGGATAATACGGGAATGCCGAAACAGAGCCCACCCATTGCCTCACCGCCACCTTGGACCCGCCAGTTATAGTCTCGATTATCTACTGCACATAATGAACCTATGGTGTGCTTCCAGACTTGCGAAATTTGATTTGATCCTTTAAAAAAAACGAGATTGAGCATTCACTTTGAAAAAGGAAAGAGTACATGTAGAATCTCTCAAACTCTGGTGTGTCTCAATGCTGATACGCTACTGAAGCAGCTCTCAATACTAGTTAGTACATGTATCATAGTTTTTCCCACTCAGTACCAACCAGTCCAAATCAGTGTTGACATAAACTTGGACCAGTCTCTGCGGGCTAAAGAACTCGTGTAGCTAGACTAGCTAGAAGCAAATTTTCTAATGGTCAGGTCTAAAGCTCTAAAGCTGATTAATGTATGCATACTTCTACCTCCGAAAATATTTTGGGGGTGAACTCTATGGTCTTGGGGTGAACGCTCAATGGTGTTGCATGGTTTCTGTTTTCATCCTGGCAAGCTGAGCTGGAGGCACAGGTATCAGCAGTTTTGATAGTGATCGGCAGTGATGTCTACCAAAAGCTGGCCACGTGAATGCAGCTGTAGTATACAGCTGTACACTGCTTCTTTATTTGTGTTATGTCGGCTTTGCGGTGAATCGTCGTTGCCCATTCAAGTGAAAGCTACAGCGTGGGCTGTAGCACAAGCCAATATAGATTCTGTACCATGCTTCTCGTTCCTAGATTGTGTCTGCGTGAGCTGCTGGCAAGAATGAGATGTAGAAAGGATAGTACAGCCGCGTCTGACAAAAACTGCTTTCGGATCGACCTGGAAAATCCCCTGAATTGCATAGGTGGCGACTGTAACAGCACTATCATAACCGTGAACTAGTGGTGGACGTGGTGGAGAAATCCTGGATAATGGCCCAATGAACAGCTAATCGTAAGTACTGTGCTGTTGAGTGTGGAGAGTTTGGACAATGTGTGACAGGACACCCAATGTCCGAGTAACAGCAAAAGCTTTCTCGCCACTGTCTCCAATCTGTTCATAAAATCTCTTGGCTCGCCTGAAAACAACCAAGCACCAAACTGAAACTTCGCATCAGTTATTACCTCCATAAAAGTAAGCTATTCCTCACAAAAATACAAATAAATTAATCATGGAGATTGCAACACTTGAAGCAAGCAACACTCTGTTTTGCCAAGGGCGCGAAAAGGATGCCCTCCACCTGCTAGAAGAGTCTACCCTGACAGAGAGTCCTCCTGATCTCTACCTGGAAGAAGAAGGCGATATTGGTCCGCGTGCTTTCCGTCTTCCTTCTTTCAGCCGTCAAGCCATGGAGGCTTCGGTAACGTACAACAAGGCCCTGATCCACCATGCTCGCAATGAGTTTGTAGAGGCCATGCGCCTCTATGAACAAGTGGTGTTGGCACCGGCTCTTCTTGGAAGCTGCAGCGCTATCATGGTCCTCAAGATGCGTGCTCACAACAACCTGGGACAGATCTTTTACATGGCCGGAATCAGTGAGATCAAGGCATTGGAACAGTTTTCCATTGCCCTGCAGATTGCCAAGAGTTTGGAAAAGCAACAGCCGTACTCGTTGGACATTGCCACTGTTCTCTCCAACTGGTGCCGTGTCCAATGGATGAGTGGAGATGTCAGCCAGATGGTCTATGAAGGCCTCCACGAGATCTTGCGTCTTCGAACCGCTGCATTGGGCTGGGATCACCCCGATGTCGCCAGTGCTCACTACAACTTGGGAGTCACCGAGTACGCTCACAACGATGGAAACAAGGCCGTCGGACACTTAATGAAGTACCTTCGTGTGGTCGCATCGCAAGCTGCCAAGACCAACAACACCAAGACCGACCTCACATTGGACCCCATCCCCGCTCTCATCTACATCTTGCTCATCAAGAACGAAGACAGGGAAGACTCGTTGGCACAAGAACTTGTCCGTGGCTTGAGAACGCTTCAGGAAAAGCGAGCCGATGCCATCATGGGACAGCAACCTCAAGAGATCGCCAGTGTCCTCAACTTTATCGGAACCTTGCTCTTCCATCAGCGCGATTTTGATCATGCTCTCCTTTTCTTCCAAGAGGAACTGCGCTTGGAAGAAGGCATTGTCGCCGAAAACACTGGCAGCGAAAACAGCTCTGTGGAAGACATTAGTGTCAGTGTCACCTGCAACAACATTGCTCGCATCCTTCAAGAGCTACAGAGACTTCCCGAAGCCAAGTGCTACTACTACCGATCCTTGATGGCCGACTACGGCGCCGACATTCAGAACTGGTCCTTGGACAGCAAGAAGAGTGCTGGCATCCCCAGTCTCAATCACGTTGTCCCCCTCCAGTCCGGACGTCAAGTCACTGACCTTCCCGCTTCCACCATCAACCTCTACTCCACGGTCTTTTACAATCTTGGATTGATCCATGACAAGCAAGGATCCTACAAGGAAGCCATCTACGCCTTTCAAATGTCACTCTCCCTCCGTCGTGTCATGTTGGGTCCCGACCACGCCGATGTCGCATGCCTCCTCTACAACATTGGCGTCTTGCAAATGGAACAACAGTTCCTCCAAGAAGCCACTCAGTCGCTCAGGGAAGCATTGCGCATCCGACGTGCCGCTCCAAGCTCCTCCCCCAGTGGACAGCTCAACGACTGCCATGTCGTCAAGACACTCCAAAAGTTGGCATCGCTCCACAAGGCCAAGGGAAACATTCAAGGCGCACTGGAAGCACAAAAGGAAATCTTCCAGATCCAAACCGTCTCGCAAGAATTCGAATCGGTCAGTCTCCGCCACAAGGACATGGCCGCCACTACACGGGAAATGGCCGAACTCCATCATGCCGTTGGTGACCTCACCATGGCCGTACAAAAGGCTCAGGAAGCCGTCGCAGTTATGCGATCCATCCAATCCGCCTTGTCCGCGACCAATGCTCTGCCCGAATTCGTGGCTTGTATGGAAGAATTGGTCGCAGGATTGCTATTGTTGGGATCTCTCAAACACGAGATTAGCCAACCAGAAGAAGCACGGGCACACTACCGAGAAGCTTCCACCATGATTCAACGGGCATCCAGTTGCTTCAGCCATCCCACAGAACTGAATGCCTTGCAGGAAGTCACTCAAATGTTGTCTACATGCCACTGTGCTCCCGAAGCTTAAAAGCACACTACAAAAAACACAATCTACTACTGTACTATACAATACTACGATGGTGGAACGATCGATGATGCACAAAAACCAATCATTGTCCAACCACCAAACGACCTGGCAGAACATGCCAATGAACATACTACTCTCATAGCTTTCTCTATGCACTACCCTACATATACATACCTCTGAACATAATACTAAGAACCCACCGTTTTGTCCAAACAAACTAGACTACACTCGAGTATCATAATAATATTGCCTTGGTATCTTTAATACTCTAGCTAGCTAGCTAGCTAGCTAGCCAGTGTTCAGGTAAGCAAGCCTAGCATTCTAGCTCCAACAGTAGCTCGCTGCAGTGGCCTTCAAACGAGGCACTAGCTAGCTAGTGTGCCCAGTCCCAGTCGCGCAGGTTGTTCAAGTTGCTGTAGATGCCTTCGGGTCCGGGGCGTAAGGGCCATGGGCCTCCAGCTTCTTTTTTGGGTGGTTGCAGTCGGAGTTCGCGACGACACGATACGTAACAAACAAAGAGTAGAGAGTGCTTGCCTTCAATCCATTTCCGCATTTGCTTTTTTCTCCTACCGAACTGAAACTCCAGGCAATCGTGCAAACCTCAGGTGAAGCCGAAGGTTAAAGGTGCATCAGGTGGCCACCAAAGCCGCGGTATGCATTAGTACAGTATTGCTCCGAGGCTAGCAAGTCGCTCTCGGGTGGCCATCAAAGGTAATCCGGCGTTGGCAGAAGCAAAGCGAGCGTGGTACCAGCTCTCAGCAGGCGACTTCAATGTGGTCTCCTCAAATTGGGGCATCGCAAGTACTATGTAGCTGTCTACTACTGTTTCTAGCTACCTGAGCCTCCTTTTCTGAATGGGCCTCTGTGCTATTTGAGGTGAGCCTTTGCCCAAAGGTGAGTAGTCGTTGCGTGTTGGCTAACCAAAGCTATCGAGGGGGGCGAGTTTGTTGAAGCTCCAAGCTTCTTTGCTTTCATGCAAAGATCACCTGCTTTCCCACCTTGGACTGGAAGGCTACCGTACCTACTGGCGCTAGCTTAGAACCTCCGTTGCCAATCCAGGCGATGTCTCTCGGGACCGACAAATCCAGCTCTCTAGCCAGTAGCCGTTCCAGTATGCAGGTGTGGCAGGGTGCTTCAAGCATCAAGTTTTGTCATGTGGATACACGGAAATAATATGAGAAGGAGCGATAGCTAACTGATGGCTAGCTGGCGGCGGAGGTTCATGGCTGCCAGTGCCGTAGGTAGAAAGGAAGTCAATTGCGAAAGCTCACTCATTGAAATAGAATTGTGTTTCTGGTGCAGTAGCTGGCCAGCTAGCTAGGCTAGGGCGCAGCTAGTTGCCTACTGGGGCGCGAGAAACCCTGAAGATCCATGGACGAGTGGACGAGCAACCATTTGGGAAAGTTAAAGGCTGGCATCGCAGAGAAAGCCAGAGACGTAGTAGTATACCCCTCACCAAATGGCCAGAAGTAAAAAGCTAGCTCTAGAGTAAAAGCAACCATTGGCTTCCGCTTGGTACATTCCCCAGCCACTTGCTTGCTAATAATAACCACCTCTCCTGTTTTAGTTTAGCTGTCGCAACAAAATGGCTATTGGGGCTTCTCCCTCAACTACTCTACTAGAGCTATCATAGAGCTACATGTACTAGCTAGCTAGTATCAGTTTTGCTTGGTTGTTGCTACATGTACATGTACCACTAGCTAGTTTCAGGTACGATGTAGTACGATGTACTACTAGTAGTGGAGCTGTTGTGGTACTAGCACCAGCCACCATACCTGGACCAGTGGTACCGCTTTGTCATTGAGTCTTGAGTTACTCCCAGTGTCCCCGCGATGTTAAGTTGCCAGTTTTGCATGACTTAAGACACTGGGCCGAAGGATTAATGAATGAGTTATCTATGGACATTTCAATAAGTCTTATGCATGATTGGAGTCATCGATTTAGCGAGAAAAAGATACCTTGGATCTGGAGTGCCTCTCTTTTCTCAATTGCTGATGCCAAAGCAAGTACCAGTAGCTTTTCCTTCCAAGATCAAAACCGCAATCAACAAGCAACACTACAATACAATAGCATTCTAATTCTAAAAGGAGAAGCTGGAAGAACAAAAGGAGTTGGTCTTGGCAGCGACATTGAAGCTCGCAAATCTCAACCAAAAAGTGCCTGATACCCCCATTATCTAACTGGATACCCCATTGAAACAGAAGAAAGCGTGGGATACCCCAACAATAAAGATCTACCCTTCCTAGCTAACAAATCGAATCCAATAACGGATACTTCCATTGATTCTACAGCCGCTTTTCTTGTTGTTGCTATTTTAAAATAATACTGAGAAACCAACCATGCCTGCTGCAGTTGGCCGCATTACCCGTGGTACCGGAGGCCCTCAAGCAATTAAGAAAAAAGTCGGCCGAATTAGGAGCCACAAGTTCCGAGCGCAAGACTTTGTCCGCAAACGACAGAATGAATCCCTGACTGACCACTATACCATTGGCAAGCTCTTGGGCGAAGGTCAATTTGGAGAAGTCTTTATTGGAACAGTACAAAAGAGCAATGGTGGCAAGGGCGATAATCGCGCCATCAAGCGGATCCAAAAGGTCCTCATGACCGAAGAAGATCACGAAGAAGTATTTAATGAATTTACCCTCTTGAAACAAATGGACCATCCATCCATTGCCAAAATGTTTGAGTTTTTTGAGGATGCCGAGAATTTCTGGTTTGTTCAGGAACTCTGCAGTGGTGGCGAACTATTGGATGAACTGGAGCGAACGGAAACTTTTTCCGAAGCTTCCGCGGCTCTCATTATAAAACAGGTCCTCAGCAGTGTCCACTACTGCCACAGCCAAAAACAAGTGGTACATCGCGACCTCAAATTGGAAAATATCTTGCTGGAAGAAGGAACTCAGAACGTGGGTAGCAACAGCGCATCCTACAATCCCATGATTGTCAAGGTGATTGATTTTGGACTGGCTACTACATTTACAGAGGATCAGGTGTTGACAGCACCCGTGGGATCCATGCATTATGTTGCACCTGAAGTGTTGGAACAGGAATATAACTACAAGTGCGATGTGTGGAGTTGCGGTGTCATTGCCTACATTCTCTTGTGTGGTTTTGCTCCCTTTGACGCCTTGAATGATCGAGATATGCGAGAACTCATCATGATGGGCCATGTCTCCTTTGCGGATCCCATTTGGCAAAATGATGTTTCTCAAGACGCCAAAGACTTTGTATCGTACTTGCTCACGTATGAGCCTGACAAGCGACCCGATGCCGGGCAGGCCCTCCAACACAAATGGATCCAAAATCTTTCCAAGGTCCATGCCGAAGAATTCAAAGCCACCAAGAGTGGGACCGACGCCGCTGTCCGGCTTTTGTCCAATTGCCGATCGTTTGAATCCGCGTCCAAATTGAAGCAAGCCACTTGTGCGTTCATGACATCCCAGTTGGTGCTTTCGGGCGATGATGATGACGAAAACGACAACAATAAGAATTGTGATGAGACTGCTGCTGACCACCAATCCATCGCCATGATGATTGGTGAAATATTTCGGGCCATTGATCTGGATGCAGATGGAAGAATCTCTCATGAAGAATTGCGAGTGGGATTCTTGGATTTCCTAGGAGGAGATGACTTGACAGTGGAGGAAGTGGATGACATTTTCTCTCGGATGGATATGAGTGCCACAGGGTACTTGGACTACTCCGAGTTCGTCGTGGCATCGATGGGTCTGCATGACCTGGAACAAGGAAATCACAGGGCCTTGCTGAAGCAGGCTTTTGAACGTTTGTTGGACAAAGACGGGAGTGGCTTTATCTCCATGGAGAAACTGAGGAAAGAAATGGCTCCCTTTTACGGGGAAGATGTGGAGGAAGACGTTATTCAAAAGATTATTGATCAGGCCGATGCAGATCAGGATGGTCAGGTTTCCTGGGATGACTTTCAAGCCATGATGTCAAAGACAGCAGACTTTGTCCCTCCTGAGAACGCAACGCCACTGTCGCGTCACAAGGAACTGCCGCAGGATGGCAAGAAGCAATTGGAGGAACCTACCACCAAAGCGGATGCGGATGACATCGTCAAGGAGGACGCCAAAGAGGACACGAAAGCAGAAACCAACGTGACACCAACGGAGACAGCCGCCGCCCAAACAGAGGCGCCCGTGGAAGCGGAAAAGACACCCCCAAGTCCGGGACGCAGAGTGAATCGAAATAGTGCTGCTGGCCCCAAGGCTCGATTGATCAGTGCTGTGTTTGAGAAGAATTTGGAAAAGAACCGAGAGATGGGATTTGACAAATTCACGTACATTCGAAAGCAGTCCTCCAGGGGCGGTCCCAAGCGTACGCTGCCTCGAACACGTCGTGTCAACTTTGAGGAGCTTACGAAGAAGGCCAACACGCAAGTCAATTTCGATGCCAGAGCAGCGAGGGATGGAAGGAGTAAAGAGATTGAGCAGCTCAAGTCAACTCCAGGAAGGGCACGGGAACGACGAGCAACAATTGCTACTTTGTTCCAACAAGAAAAGGAGGAGCAACGCAATCGTAGAGAATCGCGCATGTTGGAATTAGAAACTATCAAAACGCAAAGCCATGCCAATGATCGACAGCAGGTACGCAGCAGCTTCCAAGAAACCAATGCACGCAAAGCCCAAGAGAAACGGAGTGAGGAACTCGAGAAACTGAGATCCTCGGTTAACGTTGACGACAGCGCTAAGAAGCGGCTTTTCGAAATGTGGAACCCACCCAAGACTTCCTGCCCTTCCGCTGGTCAACAGCGTGCGTCTCAAGTGCAGGTAATGAAAGATTTGAAACGATTCAAACAAATGTTTGACCAGGCAGCACAAGAGGGTACATTGAAGGAGAAATTTGCAAGGCAACGTCCATCGTTACAAGCAGGCGCAATGCCGCCAAGGGCCAGTCGGGGTTGGACAAAACGGCTGTCAGGCAAATCTTATCAAGAGTCACAGGAGGACATGAAGAATAGTTCTCATCATAGCAGACGCGGCCTAGGTCGGGCAACCAGCCATGCAATTTTGTTCGACATCGATGATATCGAGGATCGGTTAGTGGACATGCAGCCGTCGGCAAAGGATGAGCGCTCCGCTCGAATGATCGAGCCACTTCGTCGCTTGAACTCTTTCGACAGTATACAGGAACAAGACGAGATGGACGAGCGATTGGGTGGCATGATAGGCGAGGAAGTTTCTCGTGTCGCCACTGAGCAATCGGTCGACAAGGAGGCAGACAGCGGGAATGAAGATTCGACAACTCCAAAGAATCAAAAGGAAGTGAACAAAGCAAAGCCCAGACACAACGTTAAAGCCTCTAGTTGGGAGGACCAACAGAATAGTTTAGTCAGCCAGACACAGGAGAAACGGGAAGCCCGTTTCCAAGAGCTGAATCAGTTGATGAAGCGGAAGTCTGGGAAAGCTAACATTGCCCGGGAGCTCTTCGAAGCAACAATTCAAGCCAACGAAAAAGCTGCGTCGAAGACGAGGAGCATAAAGCCCGAGGAGGAATGCCGACGCGCAGGGAGGCGGAACTCTCTTGCACCCACCATTGGAAAACAAGTGTCTCCTGTTGCAACACCAAAGCAAGCGCGACGTAGCTCGATGGGCGCTTCGACGATAAGCGTTTCCTCTGTTGCTGCAGACGAACCCAAACGAGACTCAATCAACTTGAAAGAGCTGGGCAAAAACGAAGCTGACATACACATGCCATCCAAGGACCTCCCAGATGTTGAGGACACCGTTCGCCGAGGGTCGAAGAGCACATCCCACCCTGATAATCCGGATTCAAACAGCATTTCTGATCTTGGGTACGAGGAAACTGTTCACCGAGGATCGAAGAGTGCATCCCGCCCTGATAATCCGGATGCGAACAGCATCTCTCATCTTGGATACGAGGAAACGGAGAAGAACCAAGGATCAATGGCAGGTTTGAGTTATGAGGGCAATGACAGTGTTTCAGAGCGGAATGGAGATTCAGTTGCTTCTATTGGCATGGGTGGGTCGATGATGGAACTATGCTTGTCTCCCAGCCCAACGTCCCCGGCGGGTTTTGGACGGCGACGAAACACGTACAAGAAGATCAAGACTCCCAAGAACGTGCCACGCTTCGGTACCCCAACAACACCAAAAGGACAAAAGCCATCTCGTGCTAGAGCCAATCGGCGAGCATCTGCCACTGCCACCATGACGGCTCCGGTGGGCACCGACGTAACAGAAGCCCAGATGAAGTTCCTGAAAATAGCAAACAATCGGGCAATGAAGGCAAAGGCAAAAGATGACGCTGCAAATGCTCAATGAAGCCCAGGAGCAAGCTTGACGAAGGCCAGCATACTCGTGTAGCCGTCGCATTGCCGGAATCCTTGTCAAACCCCGGATGAAAATGACCAAAACTAACCTGTGCCAAATTTCTGGCGGCGTGAAGGCCATGCGCAGGTGGCCGTCGCTTTCCCAGCATCACTGCCAAACCCTGGGTGGCCAAAAGCAGCACTGCCCGTGCCTGACCCTATCCTTGTCCCGGAATCCAAGGCAGCCAGCAAACCAAAGTATCCGGTACACAGATAGATAAAATCTGCATGCAAACTCTAATAAAAGTATTGGATTCCATGTGTACAAGTCCTTGTCATCTGCTACATGTACATGTAGTCCCAGGCTCCCAAAAGAAGCAAAGCAAAACGTGGCTGGCTTGGGAGACTTTGATAGAAGTAACTCAGTACGATTACGTTCAGTTTTAGGCCAAGGAGCTAGTGGGATCGATGCTTCAAATAATGTCCAAAGGGACATCGATTGTACGGAACGGAATCGTTTACAACTCTTTTGCATGCACATGCAGGACCGGTGCCAGCTACAGTAGCTGAATATGAATTTGATGATTGCCATTTCGCTCTTCTGCTGGGTAGCACATCCGAAACGGTACCATTGGCACAAGAAGGTCGACGAAAGGGCATCCTTCCGTGTTGGTCTGGGTCGAGGTCGAAAATCCACGCTCAGCTTTCCGTCGTGCAAGGTGTCCAAGCAGGCCCGCGTCCTCTTCCTGTTCGATTGTGAGAATTGCGTCGCATTGGGCATTGGGACCGGTAACGGCTAAAACAGCAAATCTGGCCGGCGACCTAAAAAAGGGGGCAACGGTCAAGCGTTGGCCGCGAGCCTTCTGTAAATTTCCTTTTTTGCCGCCTTCGGTCATCGATTGGATTGAGATGGAGTCTCAACCACTGAATTTGAAATCGAATAAGTAGGAGCAAAGACAAGCAAGGCTGCCCCCGAGCCAGGCTAGCTCCTTCCGTCTTTGTCCTCACCTGACACATTTCCAGATCTTCTCACAACTCGAAAATTCCTGTTTCGAGACCTTTCTTCACTTCTTCTTCTATCCACTTTTTAGTACTTCTACCCCACCACAACCACCCACCAACACCATGTTCCGCTTTGCCCTCTTGAGTTTCCTCCTTGTTGCCGCACAGGCCAATATCCGCTCCGAGTTTGAGAGCAAGCTGCGTAGCAAAGTCGCCCTTCGCGATCTGCGTGCACTGCAGGGACTTCCCGAAGGCTTTGATGCATTCGAGTTCAACTTTGCTGGATTCACTTTCAATGCTGCTATGGCTATGGAAAAGTGCCCCAATGAGTGGGATGCTACCTTCCAATGTCTGATCAAGGACTGTCCCAATGCCCTTGATGTCTGCCCTGACTTGACCGGGGCGGCTCCTGTTGGGAGTATTACAACTATCGGTAAGATAATTATGTTTCGTCATGAATGTGTTTTTGGATGTTTCCGTTGGCTCATTTGTTGATGTTTTCGCTTGATAATGATCTTAACCTAACAGCACCAGGAGATATGGAATCTGGTGAAATGGAAGGCATGGATGTAAATGCCACTGAACCCGAGATGCCCGAGATGGAGCCACCATCTGAGATGCCTGAACCTGAGACTATGCCAGAAGGAGAAGGCGAAATGCCAGTAGAAGGTGAAGGTGAGACGCCTATGGAGGAGATGCCTATGGAAGCAACCCCAGTTCCCGAGGCTGAAGATATTGTCGATGGAGTCGAAGATGTTATCGATGCTATCGATGAGCTGCTTGAAACTGCCGTTCCCTCTTCGGGCGGCTCTCGTTTCTTGCAAGATGCCGCGGCTATCCCCGAATGTGCCGAACTTGAGGCTGAATTCTGTGATGCCCTTGCTGGAGAAGACACTGAGGATTGCTGTTTGACTGCCTGTACTGATGAAATCCAAGCATTGCTTGTCTGTGTCATTATGGAAGAAACTGGAGAAGACAGATCTGACTGCGAAATTCCAGAGTGTGAAACTGCTGGACCAGCTCCAAGCACATCCGCCCCTGCACCTGCACCATCATCTGATGCAGCCAGCATCTCCAGAGTGGCTGCCTTGTCTGCTTCTCTTCTTGCCTTTGCTGTTTTGTAAGCACTCAGATCAAGGAGAAAAATTCAACAAAATGCTGGGTTTGTCTTGGTTAAGAAAATGAGCAAGTGGCAATGTTAACTTTTTGTGAGCTTTTTCTTTGTCTGGAATGGAATGAATTGAAATGAATGAACGTGCAGAGGCGAGGTTACATGCAGCAATTGTTTGAGACATCAGTGACAGGTTATTGACAAACAAGAGCTTTTTCTATTTGGCATTGCTTGTATGATTTGATTATTTACTGGCTGGGACCACCAATATGACAACAACATGCAATAAATTGTATTTAATCAGTGGAAGTTATTTGTTTACGACTAAGGATGCATTGGCCCGAAGCATTCATTGTCAGTTCTTGTAGTGTGTAGTTTCGTCCTTTGGTTGGGGGCTGGGTAGTCAGCATTATCGTAGCCACTTGCTGTCTATCTAACCAGTACTGTAGTCTAGAAAAGGCCACCATGGTGGAAGACACTTGGTGATGGCTGCAGATGGTATTCATAAGTGTTTGCTTTTGGTTTCTCAACGGCGGAAAGCCGTTGCATGGCCGTGGTGATTTGATTCCGGTGCACTTCGCAACCCCCTATTTACCAAGCGGAAACTTAGGGGTAAATCGCCAAGGGGGATTGGAACTCTTCAACGCGCACCATGGGCTTCTAATTACCATCGCTAACTACCATATGTGAAAAAGAGTTAGTTTCACTATGATGCCAAACAATGCTATTGTCCCGTCCTTTCGTTGAGGTGGGCAGGAACTCACCGCTTGCCCCGGATAGGGCTAACGCGTAGAGGCGATGCTACCAAGGTTGTTTTGTTTGAGCATACAGCCATGGGAACTGGAGGTCTGGTCTTGAACTATCCCACATCCCACACCTTTGAAACTGAAAGACATTCCTGTGGAACGCTATCATTTCTATGGACACTTGCCTCTCATGTTGGGCTGCGGAATGGACGAAGAGCAAGATGATGAGAGTGATGGTGACAGCAACCTTCCACTGACTAGCCTGAGCCCGTGGTTTTGGTTGCACGATTTGCCTGATATATCGGGTAGCGTTGGCTTGGAAGCAGCCAGGGATCCATTGTTCATGGGAGGAAACTTGGAGGAGGCTACAGAGTATCTAAGAAGTCACCAGTTGGACCCAGCTGGGCATATTCAAATTCTTGCAGCCTGGGAGGACTTGCAAATGAGATTGAAAGAGGAGATTGGTCTGTGGTGGAACCGCAAGCACCAGAGCATGCTCTCTGCCCATTCTAAGCAACCACAAGGTGTAAGAAGAACATCCCATCACTCCGCTAAATTTCTTGTTTGGTCATTAGTAGCCATGGGGGAGTTAGAAAAAGGCAAGGGCTGGTTAGCCCTTCAGTGTACTGCCGGTGCCCCCTTGCCAGCCAGTTGCTTGCTGGCTAGCTAGCTAGCTAGCTAGGCAAAAAGCAAGAGTAAAACAAAACACCAAGTACCGCGACTGGACGAGGGAATGTCCCCATTGCCAAAATTGTTCACTTGTCGCAAAGTGAGATCGAAGAGTTACGCCACAGTAGTGCAGGCAACAGACAAGAGACACCTTTTGACTGCTGGCTGAATCCTGCTATGTCCAATAATGCTGTCTGCATCGTATTTTCAAGGGCCCTGACCCTGCCACTGAGCGACGTTCATGCGAAACCTACTACAAGCTCTGCAAGTCGGCCACCGTTCCGGTCGGGAAAAGCTTGCTTTGTCTGCTTGCTGGCTCTGGCTACCTAGCCAGCCCTTGCCGGCATGATGGCACCATTCGGCATTGGGCGTTGGGCGGTAGGTAGTACCCAGTGGCTGTCGAGTGGCGAGGCTAAAAGGAGATCCGAACAGTTTACGGCTGCTGTTTGCTATGTCTTGCATCTTGCCAACTTCTCCAAGTCGAGAGGCAGCCGTTTTGTCGACGTGGACCTGGACTCTTCAATACGGGTTCCACAGCGGCGGCAGTTTGTGAACCGGTTATTCTTTTCGGAATAAATCCAAGTGCCAAGAAACTATCAATCCAAAAGGCTTCCAAACTTCCAATTGCTAAAGGAGGCACTTCTCCAAAAAGGCCTGAAAGGCTTTAAAATCTTTGCTTTCACCCTTGTGATAAGATTTTGAGCACAATTTCCAGTACTACAGTACTGTAATACCTTCCCAGCTGAAGGGGACGCCCCTGTGCAACCAACGTTTTGGTTGTTTGGTGCTTGCCTATCATTGTACGGTACCGGTACTCTTGAACCCTCTTGAAATGTGGGATTGTGCCAACAGGCAGAGCTGATGTCGTTGCAATTTCTGGTGACTCTCTAACTATACTGTTTTACTATTTATTTGTCATAGTTCCCCCTTGCAAAGGCAGCAGTGTTGTGTCCTGAAGGTGTTGATAGTAACCGTACTGTACCGTACTGTAGCAATGATTGGTTCTTGCCTTCTATGGGATGCTCACTTTTGCAGCGTTATTGTTTACCTTTGTGGCTATCAGAGAGTAGAAAATAATCAAAGCAGTTCTTCACCTGCCATTGATGGCAGCAAAGTTACTTTGGCATAACTAATAATACTTTGTCTGCGAGGTCCGACGTCCGATGCTTGGTGAAAGCGATCGGCATAATATTATGAGTGTCTGCAACCCCAAACAAAACTTCCCTGTATTATCTTAAAAATAAGGTATCTGAGCGATCTCCGGCAGCAAACGATGACATTCGAGAAGCCTTCTTGCTCTTTTTTGGACTGTGGTGGTTTCATTGGACGATCACACAGTGGAGCTCAGTGGTTCCGTGCTTCCGATCATGAAACCAAACGTTCGTACTCCAACTCTTCTTGGCACAAAAACGCGAAAGACTGTCATCTACATCACCCAAAACCGGCACAACCATGTTGGTCAAAGCTCAGCAGCAGCAACGCCCCCGGGTTGATCGCCATCGCCATCGCAACAGTGAGCGACGACAGCGTTTGGATTCCGAAGACTCGAGAATGGCCGAATCAATGCTGAATCTGTTCAGGGAACACCGAAGACGAGCGCAGCTTCGAAACCAGCAAGTTCTCCCTGACATCATTGCAAGTGGCCCTGGAAGCACAGTCTGGAAACGCAGCCCTCAAAGATGCCATGGCTGTGTGGTGTATCAAGACACCCAAGCTCCGCATCGATTGCTTCATGTGATTCCGGACGATGACGATGCCGACCATAACCGGGATTGCGCGATGACGAGAACCCATCAATCCACAGCTAGTAGCCACAGCAACGAGGGTCATTCGTACAGAGGCAAGGCTCTCCGGCGCCCGGCTCCTCTTGGGTATGTGGGTATCCCATTGCCCGTAGCTCCCAGTCTACCAGCTTCCGAACAGCAACGATCACGCTACCTGGTGCGTCCTCGCTTTCCCACGGTCCAGTGATGATCTTTCGGGGAAAATACGACGACGCAAGGGCTCTAGTCTACGGTATTAGTCTAGGTGAACATCAGAAAGAAGTTCTATTATCCGCCATTCTATTCAATTCTATATTATGCATGTCCAAAAGTACACTACACGAACAATACAATACGCAAAAAAGCATAGAGATAATTATCCCCGCCACATCATGCCAACGTAAACGATATTACAGGGTATTCTTTTAAAATAGTCCCCACATTACGATACTATAGGTGTAAGTAGCTAGCAAGGAACGCCAACAAGAAGATGCGTCCACTACTTACCACGGCTAGCTAGGTGCATTTGGTCTTGCCAGGTGCAGCACCGGCCTACCGCACCTTCAAGGTAACGTTCGGTTCTTGGCATGGTCGACACCCTTTTCTGGCTGGGATGTCACAGTCTGTCGTTCCAAGGTACTGACTCGACTCAATTCAATTGGGTGCTGCTGCTGCTGATGCATTGGATTTGAAATGAGAGCAATTCCAGCAGCACTTTTGGTAGTCGGACTACAGCCATGTATGTACTACCATCATTGTGGACCGATCTCCTTTTTGCTCCATGCAAATGCAACACGAGCAGCCGTTCCTCCATGTTGCAATAGAGGCAGCGGCTGCTTCTATCATTGCCTCAGACAGAACCCACTCTTTCACACAACAACGCTACCACCTATCTACTAGACTACCTGTGGCCAATGAAACTGCACCAGCGAATGCCCTACCTTCCGCGTGGAATAGGGCGGCCGAGCACTATACGGCTTGGCTGGCTGATGAGCTGGGGGACGGGCGATGTGAACTCCTGCAGTGGGCGACAAGGAGACGATAACTCGGGGCAAGGCTCGGTTGGATCAGCCCAGGTACCGGTACCGTACTGGTAGGACAAGAGGTGGGACCTGTCTTGGGGGCACACGCGATGTTCAAGTTCTCGGGAGCCCTGGAGATACTAGATGGGTGGCTCAATCTACTGGCTGGCTAGCTAGATAGTTGCTTGGGCGTTGGGGAGTAGCCAAACCGTGACATTGGTGCACATGCATCATTTGGGATCATGCGTGTTGAGTTTGTGGGCGCTAATGCCAGTCAGCAAGTCCTTGCATAGGGGCGTTACTAGCCTTGGGTCCAAACATGCCACCACGGAGAATTTAGTTAGATGCCCCTTTGGCTACCGCCCCCTTGTACACTTACTTGTTTTCGGTTGTTGATGAGGGTGCGGCAGTGACCGGTGGCTTAGGCTATCGCCCGGCTAAGCTGGGGGCCGCGCAGAGGTTCAAGGGGTTTGGTGGGTCATCAGAAGCAAAGTGGGCAGAACTAGAGAAGAGACAGGTAGCTAGAAGGAGGACACACCGTTTCTACATGTTAGTATCTGGGAGAGGTTTACACACAGAATGATCAACTGAAAACACATAAAAAGGTTAAAAAGTTATACATGATGCGCAAAGTTCAGCCTGCTAGAAGCTCCGCGGGTAGCCTTCCAGTGGCCGACAGGATATACATGGTTTTTCCATTCTTTTTAAGTGTTGGAATTGCACACACATGGCATTTGTGGGGCCACTGCATCATCGCCGATCTTATCGCAGACAAACCAGTCACCATATCGGCAGCATCCATCGCCACATCCATCCACTGGATCCTCTAAGCACCCCTGGTCGCCTTGAATAGGATGTCCATAATTGTTGACCCAGTCAAGGGCAAATTGTGCGTCTTTCTCACATGGATGGAACCCAGAATTTCCAGAGTCGACGCCGATCGGACCACTTGGGATACTTCCTCCTCCTCCTCCTCCGCCGCCATTGACAACTGCCCCGTTACTGTTGTCGTCTTCGTCCGAATCTCCACTGGGTGCCCCTTGGGCATTGGAGACGACGCTCACTCCCGAATTTCCATTAGTGCTGCCACCGCCACTGATTTGAGAATTGGTGCCGGGTGGAGCACCTTCTTGAATTGCGATGAGGTTGGCCACTTCGGGGTATAGTTCTTGAAATTCTTCTGGCGTCAAGGGCGTGGGCGTAGGCGCAGCATCTGTGGGTGCAGGTGTCATTTGTACAAAGGTGAAATTATTTCCAAAACCTGGAGGCATATCAGGAGGCACTTCGGGATCAAAAGGAGGCACACCAGGAGGTACTCCAGGAGGTACACCAGGATCCACGGGAGTGATTGGATCGGCAGGGGTGATTGGCTCAGCTGGAGTGATAGGCTCGGCTGGGGTAATCGGTGGTGGAGCGATATCAATGACAGGACTGGTATTGGCATTGCACACACAAGGCATGTGTGGCTGTCCGTTGCTTTCGTCGCAGACAAACCAGTTGGCATAACGACAGCATCCACCAGGGCATGCATTGACGGGATCTGCAAAGCATTCCATGTCCCCTTGTTCGGGGTATCCAAATGTACCCACATAGTCGGTGGCTGCCTGTGGATTAGGCTCACAGGGATGGAATTCTTGAAGGCCACTGACGGGGTTGACCATACCACCCGCTTCTTCGTTAACAGGAATGCCGCCGCCGCCACCACCACCACCGCCGCCGCCACCGCCACCGCCACCGCCACCGGCGCCTCCCTTGTCGTTTTTATTCATATCCATTTGCAGTTTTCGCTCAGGCTGACCCCGAATTCCCCTGGCAGTGCCACGGGGATCGGCAGCCACGGCGCCAAGGGCAAGGAGTAGGCAGATAATCTTCATGTTTCTTGTAGTAGTAAATTTGTGTCCGGTCGGACAAGACGTTTTGGCCTTGGTTGTAGTTTTTGGTTTTGGCGGTTTGTTGCCGAGAAATAATGAGAAAGATGTGATGAATTCCAAAGTGTGACAAATCCACATGGAATCACATGGGATGATCGAGCTGTTGGAGGGCGGGAACGATGACCAAACCTCACTGACGTGAGAAAACCCGGTTGGAGTCGTAACAGCCGTAACGGCGCTTTTGTCACTTTCTGTAGCCAAAGTGAGAATAATTAGATCTAAGTATCATCGAGATCTTAGAGGCTGGCTCTTGGAGGGGGGTACGTGGTTGTGGGATACGATTCGTAACCCTAGTGAGTTAGTCTGATTTCTACTTTCGAAAAGTTGCAACGATTTTGAAATCGTGTGGCTTTGTCCCTTGTCCTTTCTTTCTGTGCCTTGGCAGGAAAGACTTCCACCGGTATGTGCAACAACGGAAGGCTTATAGAGCTCGGATAGCCCAGTTCAAGATAATTATGTGTGGTTTAGAGACATGGATGGGTACACATGCAAGATAGGATGTTCCGGGTTTGTCTTGACCTTTCTATTTGGCTATGGTAGCTACTAGTAGCTACCTGGCAAGTTAAAGGAATGGATCAATGACTTCTATCTTCCCTACGAAGCTGTCAATGCTACAGCAGCCACCTTCAGCAGCATTCTAAAAAACTGTAGGCAAAGCCCTATTAGTATTTAATAAAAGGGATTTAGACAAGCAGTGCTTGAGGAGGACCCATGATCCAAGGCCCAGGTGTTTCCCACATTCAAGCAGTCTGCTCACCGGCATTTGAAATACAGTACTGTAAAAGAGCTACGGGTTACGTACCGTATGCTCGAGGTGAAGCAGATAATCGACACGACTTTTTTAGTTTATGTAATTTCAATAACAGTATGTGTATTGGGGGTTGCCTTTTATTAGCCACAGCTGCTTGGGAGGGAGACACAAACTCAATACAAGGTGGTTGCTTTCTTCACCTAAAACAGCCATCAGAAAGTTTCAATCAAGGATCCTCATCAGGTCCATTCTATTAATCAAAGATGTCCGATTCAGGGTCCTTTGGAGATAATAGTGATAACAGGTTACGAAACGTTTTGGGTTAGTCATACAACAACATAGTATGCCTCCAGCAAGTTCGTTTTGCACAGTAGTGACCATAACTCACCAAAACGTAGTCTGCACTTCGCATGGTAGCGTTGCCCCCCATGTCAGTGGTGTTGACTGGTGGCAACGTAAAGGTAGCAGCTGGTGGCAATGTAACACCCCCTGCAGCTGGTGGCAATGTAAAAGGTTCAGGCGTGGCAGCAGGTAACACTGGAGCAACTGTTGGGTTTGGAGTAGCCACTGGAGCAACTGTTGGGTTCGGAGTGACCACTGGAAGTGGTGCTGTATTGCCGTTGCAAACACATGCCAAGTGGGGGAATGTGTCGGAATCACAGATAAAGTACTTGTCAAACCGACAGCACCCTCCCCCACAGGCATTGACTGGGTCGGCATAGCAATCCATATCTCCCTTATCAGCGTGTCCTTGAATATCCACATAGTCTCTGGCTACTTGAGGGTCAGGCTCACATCCATGGACTTCGAGGATACCGTTGCCGCCACCGTTGCCGTCGCCATTTCCGCCGCCGCCGCCGCCACCGCCACCCATGTTGTTGTTCATGTCATTGTCCTTCTGCAACTGGCGCTCGGCAATCCCACGGATACTGCCACCATTTCGTGCACCACGGGGCGCAGCAGCAGCACTGCTCAAAAGGATGGAGAGGATTAGAAATTTCAGCATGGTGTTTACTACTGTTTCAAACTTTGAAGGTTGTTTTAATGGCTGGCCTCAAATTATCAAAGTGAGAGAAAATGAGAGACACAGTAAGATTTGATCTGATGCCAACCACATGAAGGCAACTCGCGAGATCGGCGCGAAAGAAGTGAGCCCGCTGTCACTTAGAGACAGATTCGAGTACGTCACATACATTGTTCCAGTGTAGATCTACTTGCTGGCCGTGGACGGAAGCTTCCGAGCACAGGGCTTGCTTGCATCTCCAAAGCTGTTGGAGGTCCCAGCAATTCTCCCCCCAAGATCCAGAGATCCAGATATCCGGTGGGTTGTATGTATGTCAGGGGTAGACTGTCTCGAAGAAGGACTTCACAAACACAATCCAAAACGAGCCCCATCATCAGGCCCACCAGGAAAACCAACTGCTAGCTAGCTAGAAACCAGAAGCAGTGTTCTCGCCTGGAGACTCCTCTGTAGGTGTTGGAAGACCTTGGATTCATTGGCGGGCAAAGTTGAAACAAGGACATCAGACCCATTTGGGAGCTAGCTAGTCTAGACTCATAAACAACTTAATTTATTGATACCAAAAATGCACCTTCTACTAGACAGATTATAAATTCGATTCGTTGGTTGCCTTATGACCGCACGGATAAAGCATGCAAGCAACCTCTAGTTGCTCATTCGTCAGCGCCGCTGGTCGCCTTGGCAAGGGCGGGTCCGCCAACCGCAATAGAGCCAAAACAACGCCAGGGCAATGCAAAGAGGTTGTCTTCCAGCAAGGCTTCAACCTCTCCTACAGCAGAACCGATGGGTAGTAGCTCGCTAGCTAGCTAGTCATCGTTTTCAGGGTCCTGGTCCATGTAGTCGTCGTTGTCCACTGCTACCGGTATGAGTTCGTCGTCTTCTTTGCTTTCTTCTTCGTCTCCCTCTGCAGACAAGACCACGAGCTCAGGCACAACATCAGTCATATTAGTACTGGGCATTGTGGCATTTGCGGGTGCTCCTGTGAAATAAGGAGAGGAGAAAATGGTTGCCAAATCAAAGAACAGCCAGAACAAAACCTTGCTGTTAGGACAGATGATAGACATGCTTGGAGACTCACGGAGGCTTAGCTCCAAAGAATATCGAATCTTACCCTGTGCTTCTTCGAGGACGCCTTCGAATTCGTCTGCTTCGACTTCCTCCTCGGAGTCAACTTCGATGTCTTCGAAAGAAGAGGCCTGGACGCCGCCCATACCCATGTCTCCTCCCATGCCTGTCATGGCGGCTGCCATGCCCGTCATGGACATCGGCATTCCTTGCAACTGTCGAAGGCCACCAACTCTTCCATTGGTGATACCACCTCGCGGCTGCGATGACACGTCGCCTACCAATAGGAGAGCGGCAAAAACGTTCCATGCAGCAGGCTTCATGATGTTTTACTTGACTTTGAAAGAGGGGTAGAATAGAGTGAAATTGTGAACCGAATTGTGAGAAAGATGAGGTTGTGGTTGGGGAAAGTTCCAAAATAGAAAATAGATCCGGTACGGCATCATACGAGCCAGCGAAACGTGGGAGTAATGTCTTCCGAATTTTTGGTGATTCGTTGTTGCGGCGGGAAGAAGGAAGTGTGACAAGTCGAAGCATAAACTGACCAGCAGATTCAGCTAAACACTTGCGCCTCCCTCTTTCCTATATTCCGTTGTTGTGGTTGACCCGTTGTTTTGCCAAGACCGGTCACTCTGGATTGAACAATGGCCTTTATCCGAGTGCAGACTCTACGTTCGGTATCTGGCGCCTTTGTTCTGCTCTGGACTATCGCCGGCAGCATCCAAGCCACCTGCAGTCAAGTAACGAAACGATGATCATTTCTGTCGCTAAGATTGATGCGGCTGCTTATGCCGCGTCTTGCTTGTTAACCTGTGATCCGTGTTGGGGGGACACCGGGTTTCAGGCAGCTGAGGGCCCCCGACCCCCGAGGTATCGTACGATATTGAGACCTTGTGCTTCCGAACGGAATTGTGTTACAGTAGCAGGTCAGTGCATTGGGCAAAACGGGCACGGTTGCAAACATGTCGTGTTTTCCATTCCTCATGCAATTCTTCGGCTAGCTAGCAACTATCTAGAACTTCCGAACCGATACACCCCCCTTGAAACTAGTGAACGACCGAGACAAGGCTTTCAACAGGGCGGTGCGTGATTTGAACAGCCACATTAATACAGCAGCAGGCAACAGTGATTTAGCCATTGCAGAAGCCCGATCAGTACTACATTCACTTGACTGTACCTGGGACAGCACTTTAAAAAAAGTCCATCGATGATATTGAACTGCTGTTTGCGGAGGCAGGTTTGTCAACTTACGCTGTGATGCTCGAGTAACCTTCCCCGTGCCTCCTTTTTGCATCCAGCGAAACTGCGTCAATGGCAATATGGATCAACGAGGACGTGTGGAGAAGGTCGCCCTTATTCTGAATCTTCCACCAAGTGATCAGCAGCAAATGCAAACGGCGCGATGGACGCCAATCTTCTTCAATTCTGATAGGGTTCCCGGATTTGATGAAACCGACGAAGAGTAACCGCAAGCTAGGCCTAATTTAACTAAGTTCGCTTGTTGGCACCTGCGAGCGAGGTTCCTTGCCGTGATTCATCGTGCAACGAAGTGGATCGCCTACCTTTACTTTTTGTGTGCTGCCGATCAGCAAACGGTTGCTTGATCCAGGCTGAATATTGGTGAGGACCAGGAGAAACATGTACTATGGCATCATGCACCAGGTTTGCTCAAGCCGGCTGTACGATTGCAGCTGCAATGCTGTAGGTAGTAAAGTCAACAAATATAATAATTTATGTACCCTTATCATTGCTCTTGGTCTACTCATCCGTCGCAGCAACATCCAAGGGGAGCATGCCATGCGATCGACAGCTCTTATCACTCGCATCATCTCATCAACAGCGAGCAGGAACAGAGGTCTAGTTCTTGTCACCATTGTTGTCACCACCCTCAAGCTCATCCAAAACAGTTTTCACCTCTTCCTCCATTTGCTCCAATTCTGATTGCACTTCCTCCAGTGCTTCTTCTTCTTCTGCTTCTGCTTCAATAAGGACTCCTTCCTCACCTGGCTCTGCTGCATCAGTTTCATTGCCTGCCTTGTTTAATCCTACTGCATCGGCTCCAGCATCCCCATCAATGGCATCACCATCATCACTTCCGGTGTCTGCATCTGTGTCAGTCTCATTTCCAGACTTTTCACCACTACACGCTCCACAGATGGCATCCTTGATGTCCGAGATGATAGGGATGCGGCCTTCATCAGGATCAGTTTCATTGCCTGCCTTGTTTAAGCCTACTGCATCGGCTCCGGCCTCTATGGTGCCTCCTACTGCACCGGCTCCGGCCTCTACGGCGCCTCCTACTGCACCCGCTCCGGCCTCTATGGTACTTCCAACTGCATTGACAGGGCCTTCAACCACGCCACCCACAGCATTTGCTGCATCAGTAGACAGTCCACCAGTAGCTGTGTCCAGGCCAGACCCAACTGTGTTTCCAACAGCTGAAGCACCATCCACAACTGCCCCACCAACAGTGCTAGCACCATCCACAACTGTTCCACCAACAGCAGAGAGGCCATTTCCAACTGCACCTACACCATCTCCAACTGCTGACATACCATCTCCAATTATGCCACCCTGCTTGTCAGCATCAGCATCAGCATCCACATCAATGGCATCACCATCATCACTTCCGGTGTCTGCATCTGTGTCAGTCTCATTTCCTTCACCAGTGATGGCATCCATGATGTCTGAGATGAAAGGGATGCGACCTTCATCAGCTTCAGTTTCAGCTTCAGTTTCATTGCCTGCCTTGTTTAATCCTACTGCATCGGCTCCGGCCTCTATGGTGCCTCCTACTGCACCGGCTCCGGCCTCTACGGCGCCTCCTACTGCACCCGCTCCGGCCTCTATGGTACTTCCAACTGCATTGACAGGGCCTTCAACCACGCCACCCACAGCATTTGCCGCATCAGTAGACAGTCCACCAGTAGCTGTGTCCAGGCCAGACCCAACTGTATTTCCAACAGCTGAAGCACCATCCACAACTGCCCCACCAACAGTGCTAGCACCATCCACAACTGTTCCACCAACAGCAGAGAGGCCATTTCCAACTGCACCCACACCATCTCCGACTGCTGACATACCATCTCCAATTATGCCACCCTGCTTGTCAGCATCAGCATCCACATCAATGGCATCACCATCATCACTTCCAGTGTCTGCATCTGTGTCAGTCTCATTTCCTTCACCAGTGATGGCATCCATGATGTCTGAGATGAAAGGGATGCGGCTTTCATCAGCTTCAGTTTCAGCTTCAGTTTCATTGCCTGCCTTGTTTAATCCTACCGCATCGGCTCCGGCCTCTATGGTGCCTCCTACTGCACCGGCTCCGGCCTCTACGGCGCCTCCTACTGCACCCGCTCCGGCCTCTATGGTACTTCCAACTGCATTGACAGGGCCTTCAACCACACCACCCACAGCATTTGCTGCATCAGTAGACAGTCCACCAGTAGCTGTGTCCAGGCCAGACCCAACTGTATTTCCAACAGCTGAAGCACCATCCACAACTGCCCCGCCAACAGTGCTAGCACCATCCACAACTGTTCCACCAACAGCAGAGAGGCCATTTCCAACTGCACCCACACCATCTCCAACTGCCGACATAGCATCTCCAACAATGCCACCCTGCTTGTCAGCATCAGCATCAGCATCAGCATCCACATCAATGGCGTCAACATCATCACTTCCAGTGTCTGCATTTGCGTCTGCATCAGTTTCATTGCCTGCCTTCTCTGGTTGTCCTTCTGTTGATAAGTAAACACCATCACTCTTGTCACCACCAGCATCATCAGTAATTGCATCTGTTTCATTGCCATCCTTTGGCAATTCTTCATCAACATCAGTATCAACCTCAACATTATCAATGTCATCAACACTAGCATCATCAACACTAGCATCAGTTTCATTCCCATCCTTTGGTGATTCTTCTGAAGCATCTGCCTCAATAGCATCAGTTTCATCAACACCAGTAGCATCAGTTTCGTTGAATGATCTTTCTGGTCTGCCCTTGTCAGTTTCTGCATCCTCATCGTTGGCATCACCACCGGCATCTCCAGCGGCATCTCCACCGGCATCTCCACCGGCATCTCCACCAGCATCTCCACCGGCATCTCCACTGTCATCATTCTCTGATTTTGCCGATTCCGCTGAGGCATCCGGTTCACTCTCCTGAGCCTCATCGGTACCAGCATCCACATCAATAGCGGCGCCGTCACCGGCTTCATCTCCTTCTGCCTTGTCTCCTGAAAAGAAATCAAAGATGCTGAAAAAGCCACTATCACTGTCAGTTTCGTTAGTAGCTGGTGCCGCTGTGGTAGTCTCTGTTTCGTTCCCTTCTTCTTTGGTGTCTCCCCAACCAAGGAGTCCAAGAAAATCATCAAGAAGGTTCTTGTCCTCTTCGGGTTCAGGTGGCTCTGTCGGGGCTTCTGTGGGGTCTTCGGCTGGGTCCGTCGCGTCGGTAGTTTTTTCTCCTGATCGTTCGGCGTTGGGTTCCGTGTAGGTAACCGTGTAGTCGTCAGGGTTTTGAGTGTTGCGATTGCACACACACGGTAAGTGAGCCATCTTGTTTGATTCGTCACAGATGAAGAATGCGCCGAATCGGCAGCAACCAGTTGCGCAAGAATCAGGATCTGCCTCGGCGGCACATGCTGTATTGCCAGCATGGAGATCACCAAAGGTTTCCACGAATTTGACAGCTTCGGCATGATTCGGTTCGCAGGGAACCGATTCTATGAGTGTGATCTCCGCCTTCGTGGGAGTTTTATCAGCTGTAGTTTCATCGGTGGTAGATGCATCGGTATCTGATCCACCGAAAAGGCTCAAACCACGCAAGTTCTGACGTTCGTCTCGTTCATGTTCTACTGAGCGAGGAATTGGCCCCGACGCTTTCCAAAACCCCCACTCTGTGGTGCGTCCAGCTACGCATGTTGCAGCCGAAAGGCAAAGGATTGCCGCTGCCTTGACATTCATTCTCATGTCCTGTACCATGCGCCGATCTGGAAGAGAATAATCTGTCGCTTTCTTCAGGTATCTCGCCTGGCTAGTGGCTCTCTTTCGTTGGTAGGAGCTAACTACAGTAATAGTTCTTGCAACAGCACACCCAATTCCCAATGTTCCTTTGGATACAAAATTGTGACACAAGGTGCTGAAAGCATCCGGTATGAAAGATACGTGCATATTGTTCTAAGTCTAAACCATCAAATATTTAACCAGGTCCACCAAGTCTAATTCTGTCACCGTCAGAAGGATTATCCTTGTTGTCTTTCGAAGAGACATTATGAATACTACTGGTACTAGAAGAGTATAATTTGTTTCCGTAAAAGGGTTAAGAGCGGTCCCTCAAAAGCGTTGAGACTGTTGACCTCACCCAGTACTGTACATACCAATGCTGGAGCTGCAGAAGCTGCCGGTAGCTACATAGAATCGAATGTCATAGCGGCTTCGTTCTACCCCAACTAACTGTTTGACAGGTTTGCTATGCAGCTGCTTGCACTTGTCTGCTACCAGCAGCTAGCTAGGAAGTGAGTGAATGGCCCAGTCAGAAGATGCATTATCTGAGGGATGCAAGTTCATCCAACCTCCACTAGCTACGGTACACGAACATCAATAGCAAAGTTCTTTATTAGTTTGTTAAAATATGCAAAGAACCTATTTGACAAGATCAAGTTCCTGCGTTACGGCGGGCTCCTCGGATGTGGCTTTCTTGTCGACGCCAAAATCCTTCTTTGATAGATCCTCCAGATAAGGATAGTAGGCTTCTGGCTCCCAAACCGTGGCATTACCACTCCATGCATCACTATAAACAGAATCCGTGTCGATTTTGGCAAAATCTCCTCGACTAACAAAAGGACCTGCCAGGCGGTTGGCCAAGAACGGCAGACTGTTGATCAGCATGGACGGCATGAATCGTTTTGGAATACAGGTCGCCCACACGGTGATGCCCATGACGATATGGCCCACACCACTCAAGCGCCAACTTAAAAAGTGTTCCCATAGCCCGTTAGGCAATCGGAAGAAACCAGTAAAGAAATCTCGTAGCTCTTGTGGATCCAATCGGCACAATAACTCGAATCCAAAGTGCATAAAGTCTCGTTGTCGGCGTTCATCTGTAGGCCACACGGCATCCCATCCGGCCTTTGCAATCTTATCCATTTCGTCTTTGTTTGTGACGGCGACTTCTCCATCATTATTATTTCGTTGTCGAAGACTTTGGATCTCCGTCGCGACAGCTTGTGCGACACGAGGCGCCACTTCCATGGCCCGGGCTACCATGTACCCACTGGCGGGATGAACCAACGAAGCGGTTGCTCCAAATCCTAATGTCCTTTGTGGTACCACGGGATCCATCCCGCCCATGGGAATGGCCGCACGCTCATCTTCGAGCACTTCCAGAGGCTCAATTCCTAGCGCCTTCATTCGCAGTTTAAGGCGTGCCTGCAAATCACGAGACGATGCTCCTGGACGCGATACCAGGACAGTTTCCTCCAAAAAGATCTCATCGGGTGCCAAGGGCATGGCATAGACAAAGGACGGAAAGCGGACGTTGGACTTTGTCAATTCCGTGTCCTCGTAGAGATGTCGTTCGCAATAATCCATCAATACCATTCGTTCCATCTTATAAGGACCTAAGTCTTTGACACGGAAACGGGCTCCATAGGTGACCTGATATCCCGGATCAAATTCGACGTCATGTTTGACAAACTCCCGCGAAAAGCCAGTGGCATCCGTCACCAAAAGAGCCTTCCATTGTTTCTTCTTTTGTTGGTTGTTGTTGTCGTTATTGCCGCCAGGACGGCTGGACGTGGTCACTACGGACGGTTGATCGTCAAAGTGTTCGACATTGGTGGCTTTGGCAACGGCAAATTCCACTCCCATGTCGCGACACTCGTCCACGAGTTGTCCTTTGAGTTTCTTTCGATCGATCCGTCCATAAGGTCGCGTCAAGACGAGTTCGGGCGTGTCTTCGTCAAAAACGATCCCCACTTGTTTCCATACCTTATCACAGCAATGGGCATACCCAAAATAGTCGGCTTCATCCATCCATACCCCGTAATTGTTGGGCCAGGGTTTGTCGAGCGCAGGGTCCACCACGACCACCTTCAAGTTTCTGGAAGCCATTTCTTTGGCAAGCAAGAGTCCAGAAGGACCAGCTCCACAGATCACCACATCCATTATCTTGTCACTGTCGTCATTGTCGTCACTGTCGTCATTGTTAATGATGTCGGATGATGATAAGGATAATGGAGTCGATATTCTTTGGATGTGTTTCGGTTGTTGATGTAGACGTAAGTGAGACGGTTGTCCCGCTGGGGAAAACGACTGTGTCAGCCTCAGCGATACCGTGAAAATCAGGAATTGCTTCCAGCACTGCATCATGCCGACGGGTGATCTATTGGAAGAACTTCTCATGCTGCAATAGCTCCGATATCAAACACAAAAGTGTCAACAATGAGACAGAAAGGGGCAAGGCGTTTTGGCATTGCGTTTGTTGGGAGGGTATCCGCACTTCAACTTGCAACGTAAGCTGACGCAAAAATGTAGCCTTGCTGGCTTGATACCTACCAAAGCTTGGTATTAGTTAGATGAAGGCTGGATCCGAGAAAAGATGTGGAGGGATCAACTAGCTAGCTAGACTTGACCTACCTCAAATGAGTAACAAATTCAGACAGAGTCGAGTCGTAGCCAACCAACTGGGAGGGAAGGGGCTGGAGCCTGAGAGGCTGAGCTCGTTGTTGGTTATTGGCTGTTTGTCGAATGGTCTTGGCGAAATGGCTAGAGATCTTTGGCCCTATGCATGCTGCTCAAGTCTTCCTTGACTCCCAGCACTTTATGGGCAGCCGTGCAGCAGTGCTATCTAAACAGATTGGTTAGGTTAACCATGTGAAACTTAAAATGATACTACTACATGTAAATGTGAAACAGGCCCAGTACCAGGGTATGAGATGAGCCATGCACCAACACAGAGCTGCTGGGACCCAAACACCGAGGTGCGTGGGGCTACGGTTAGGGGACTTTCCAAGAGGCGCCAAGGCAGTGTTCCTACTCATACGGTCGGGTACCGTACTACCGGTAGCTAGCTAGCTAGCTAGCTACTAGCTAGAGTACCTGATAGTAGCTCTGAATTGGCTCTTTGGTCGATCATGTGATCGATTCGATTCGATTCGATTCGTTTCGATTAGTCTGACATCAGAGACATGATTGAGAAAGATTCCACGTGGAAAGATCTTTTGATGGATGCGTTGAAAGCAACCTCCGATGGCGGCAACACAGAACCAAGAGAAGGCAACACCCAACTCATTCTCCGTGCCTTCTCTATCTATCCTATCCTACCAGACACCTGTGTTGCTGTGCTTACTAGCTAGTTTGCCTTCAAGATGATGCAAAGACCATGGATTCCGACACTGGTCGGCTGTCTCTTGCTAGTCTGTCTCTCGGATACAGCAGCAACGCAATCATCCTCTGCCAGCAGCAGCAGCAGTAGTGATGCTGTCAAGACTCTTCCTCGCCGAGAACGGCATTTGGATTTTATGGATGCCGACACGTTGGCGTATTACTTGGGAGTGGATGCTGTGACCGGAAAGCGACTGGCATCTCCGCCACCACCGTCCAACTTTAATCACAATGTCGCAGTCATGTTTTATGCCCAACGAGATAGCAATTCTCATTATCTGGCACCCGCATGGGATGCCATTGGACAAATCTTGAATGCGGGGACACGAAAATCCAACTTGATCATGGCACTCTTTGACTGCGAACTGGATCAACAACACTTTGATCTCTGTTCCACAGCCGGGATTTCCCACTATCCGGCCTTGTTGTACATTAGTCCCAGTCGCAAGTTCCCGCATGCACCGGCATTGATCAAAAAGCCACTCGCGCATACTACATTCTTTCCGGGGAATTGGAAATACGACAAGTCCATTCTGGATTGGTTACGGACCATGCAAGCCATGACGGGTTGGTCTACCTTTTGGAGCAAACAACCATTGGGATGGTGGAAGGCTCTGCAAAAGCAAGATCCAGCAACCGCAGCGCAATTGCCAGTGGGAGTTCCCGTTACCAGTGGTACTACTGCCAGTAGTAGCGCAAGTAGTGCTACTGCCGAGTTGGCGGTCGAACTGGAGAAACTAAAGGAAAAGACCAAACAGTACGAAGACATTATCGTACGATCTTCCACCATGTTGGATGCTACCCTCTTTCCACTCGCCAATCCACTCGATGCCGCTTCCATTGATGTCTACGCCTATCTCAATGCCACCAATGGTTGGGACAGTACCGCCGTCAAGGCGCAAGTGGTACGATCCTGTGCCATGGAAATTGCATTGGATTACTGCTCCCGATTGACCACCCACACCACGGACAAGTTTGTAGAACAAAAGACCAAACAACAACAAAAAGCAGAGGGAGAAGAAGCGCAACAACAAACATTGGAAGAATTAGAAGCCGAGCTGCGTCTCCTCATCCAAGATGCGGAACCCTACTGCAATGGTGTGGAACAGTGCGTGTTGGATGGATTCACCAAGGAATCGTGTCGCCCTCCCGTGTGTCCCTTTCAACAAGATGTTCCTTGTCGATATTTGACCGTGTGTTTTGATGAATCCATGCAGGCAGATTACGCAACGGCATTGGGAGTGTCGTTGACGGAGGATTCTGCGGCAGATGCAAACAACAAAAAGCGAGGGTGGTTCTAGCTAGCTAGCTAGCTAGCTAGTACTTGAGTGGTTCCTTCGTTCCTTCCTTGGAAGTGACAATGGAAATGGACCGTCCATTCAGCAACAAGTCAGTCAGGTAGACGTGCCAATAGCTAGCTAGATGTTTGTAATGTAAAGCTCTTTTCGTGTTGCTTGCTCATTAATCAATGCATGTCACAGATCAATCAAATAGTATGCATGTACAGTTTGTTTGTGTCACCCCTTGACCGTCAGGCTATCAGACGATAGATGCTGCAGAATTGATACGGCTGTAGCATGGGTGTATACCCTTAGCAGGCAACACGGCAAGTGTGCGATGTGGCTTGCTTGATAATGGGAAAAGCTAGCTAGCTGCCGTACAAGCATAGTGCTGATGCTTAATCCCAGGTTTTCTTCCATTACAGCCATCGCTTCACTTCACTTTCCTTTCCTTCATTGCAGCTATGTAGCAACAGCGGAAGAGGAAGGATAAACTGAGGCTTTTCGAAGGATGAGGTCTGCTGTCGGTAGATCTTCCAGAATATGCCGCTCTTCGAGTGGTTAGTGCTACAACGAGATTATGCTGGATATTCTCAACCACCAGAGCTTTTGATGTGCGGGGTTTTCACCAGAGCGAGTCTCAACCATGGGTTCATTGGTGACTTGCGGCTTGATTGGACGTCCAATGCCTCTTGTGTCTCCATGGCCTAACAGTTCGAACATCTTGAGCAAATACAGGCAGTCAGGGGACAAATGGGATGATTGAAGATTCGGACCACTCTCAAAGCCGCTTGCGTACCGGTAGAGTGTTTGTGTAGGAGAATCTGGCCTTGAAACACTTACATTTCAGTTTCTTCTATGAAGACTCGACCGAGTCGGCAAACTCTGAACTGCCAGTACGATAATCCTTCAGACTTTGATAAGCAAACGAAGGTAGACCAGTATTGCAGTGCTTGGAAACCAATGGAAGCACCGTTCCTTCATCGCCAGTCTAGCTACGAGGTAGGCATGTTGCACATCTTTTGACCCGAAGCCCAAGAATGACACTGCTAGCAAGAGCTGCTTTACCTGTCCTCTATGATAATTGTTTCACCCATCTCTGGATCATCAGAAATATTCCTGGAGTAGGACCTGGAAAACCAACATTCCAGAATTTGATCAAAGATTGGCTCGTAGTTGTATCGAAATATGCCAGCTTTCCACAAGAACAGTCCTCCAATACTGAATCCAGAAGCCATAAAGTTGGATTGGCCATGCCAATCCTCATAGGTGTAGAGTTCGCCCGATACCTCATCCCAAAACTTGAAGTCACCGGACAGAACTTGATCTTGCCTGAACTGTGGGTATCTCAGATTCAATCCACAACCAAAATATCCAATGCCCCGGGGTACATTATCGCCATCCATGTCTGTGTGTCTTAGCCCAAATACATGGCCAGCTTCATGGCTAACTGTATTTCCTAGCAGGTTCTGGAATCCAATCTTGGCAAAAGGCCCAATCGAGTAAAATATTGTGTTGTCTCTGGTGAGTACAAATGCTGGTGCCTTGGTGTCGAAATTCCCTCCTAAGGGAACATCCAGAGTGGCGCAACCATTGATATTTCGTCCCAACTTGGGAACCACCAATACATTGATTCGGTCTACATTCTTGATTTGATCTTGGCCACTAAACCTGTTGGCAAATCTGTTGAGAGCATCACCACAAATCAGGTCTGATGGATTGTCATAGTAGAATGGGTCATCAATCTCGTAAATATCTCCAAGGATAAAGTTGACTCGACCCTCCAACCAAAAGTTCATCAAATGTATTTGTCCCGCCATTTGGAATCTTGACATTGTGTAGTCCTTGTAAGGGATGATTCCCAGCCAACGCTTCTCCTCAAACATTCTGTAGAAATCTATGGTTACATTGCCCTTGTAGACACTGGCTCCTCGGCCAATATTTTCGCTGGCCCTCAAGGCTCGATTCTTGTTGGACGCAAGCAATGGCCGCAGCATCAGTGCGCTGCAAGTCAGCAGCAAAAGTGCAAGAGAGCCCCATGGCTTGACCTGGAATCTCATCATGGTGGTGCCTATTGTTTGTTGCCTTGTGGTGAGGTTTTGGGAGATGAGCTGAGTTGTTTTAGTAATGGGGTGAAGCCCTGGCTGGTAGTTATGGAGCACCTTGGTTGCTTCCTCCCACCTCTTGAGGCAATTTTGAATTGAAGGAGCACCTCTGTTCTTGGCTTGAAGCCTGCGAGCATAGCTTGCATGATTTTGTTCCTTTAGAAGGTTAGGAATAATCTCCTACTAGGTTGCCTACAGGTAACCGGTACTAGCTACCTGGTACGGTAGCTAGTACTAGTACATCGTAGAGTCCGCAAAATGGATTCTTAGTAAAAACCTTCTGTTGATTTAGGGTTCAGGTTGTTCAATAAGTATCTAAAATCGGCGAGGTGAAGGGCTAAGACGACGATAATTATCCTGGCACTCAAAGTGTGACAAAATTTTTAAAAAATAGACTATTTTAATAATATGATCTAATGATAATTTCTAAAGTAAACTGAAAGTGTAAAGCCAAGAACGGACGGTCATCGCTGCTTTTAGTGGGCTCATGGGCTAATACGCGAATACGCACTTCTTACGTACTCGGTACCGGTGTACCAGTACCGGTACTGTACCGGTTGTAATAATTATGCAAGTCTCGATCTCGTGCCTTCTTCTTTGGTGCTTACGTACATGTAGGGTAGTTATTTGGTGGTACACCGGTATTGGTAGAGCCTCTCAGAGCTCAGAGATCCTTGTTGTGATCTCATATCACACTTTTGATCCAGATGAACCCCAGCCATCAACACACTGCTTGAGATAGACTGCAGCAAATGGATGCCTTGTTTGCTATCTCATCAGGAGCTTCTTCGGAGGGCGGAGATCCTGAGACCGCTCCGGAAGCTTCATCTCTGGGGCATCATATTCCTGCTGACCAAGATATTTTGACGGCGCACAACATCCAACACTTTGGAAGAAAGGCCTTGTTTTTTCAACTGATTTGTGCCATTGGCGCAATAGTGCACTCATGTTTGATTCAGAATGAGATTCTTACCTTTAGCTATCTCATCCTGGTCCAGGGCTGGTTCATTGTCCTAGTGTGGATCACGACTCTACCCAGGTCACCAGCGGAAAAGCTCAAGGATAGGAAGCAACGTGCTGGAAGGACCTTATTGCCCACTTGCCTCATCGCCATTAGCGTGCGGTTGATCCCCCACCTACAAACATTCCTTTCGGAGAACTACTGGGAAACACATCATACCATGTGAGTGAGACTGGAAAAAAACTTTCCATCAATCTGTACACACGGATTCTTACCGGTTTGTATTCGTCGTTCCTGAAACATTGCAGCATCTTCTGCTATCCAATAGTGTCGGTAGTCTGTGTTTGTTTTGTGTTCGCGGGCCTCCATCACATTGGTTATTGCGTTTCCTTACTCTACGATGAACCTAAAGAAATCTGCTGGATGGCCCTCCAGTTCATTAGCATGACTCTGAAGGCTGGCTTTGTGCAAGCGGCGTTGTTTACCCTCGTATTGGTGGAGATGGGAAGCATGAGCTCGGAAGAATGGTACGATGCCATCAACGAAAAGGCCCCAGAAGAAACCACAAAGAGTGTCATTCAGGCCCTTCAGGCGACAACCGCCGGGTTGGCCATGGACGTCTTTTTGTTCCGAGCGCTAATTACAACGCACATTCTCAAGATATGGCTCTTGGATGCGGTTCGCGGAAAAATGACACTTTTAGAGTACTTTTCCATCTTTCTCCAGCTCTTGATCGTTGTCTCTGTCTCCGCTGTGGTTTCCATGGAACCCGACTTCTCGAGGACCACAGCCGAATTCACGCTGTTTGATTTTGTGCTAATCTTTGGCATAATCTCGCCGTGTATTCTCATGTGCTTCATTCTGTGGTATCAAGTCTGGGTCTGGCACAAGTGCAAATATTTCAAGGAACGAGACGATCGCGTTACAAAACTAGAGACAGTTTTGCTGTCGTCAAACATCGCCTGGCCCGGGGTGAACGCGAACGGAAGAACATCGTGGACTGGGCCAGTAAACTAGAAAGGAACCGAGAGAGTCTGGGAAACTTCCTTTTGGATTCTTCATGGATGAGAGTTGAACACGAGGAGGAGGGATTTGAGGACGAGGAAGAGGAAACTGTGTCGCAGCCAGGGCGGCTGACACGAGACAGTCGCTGTGTAAGTACTTAGTAGAGCGAAGCCGTGGCGGATACTTTGCGTCGCCGTATAATTAGTCTCAGGCTCGACTCGGACTCCTTCGTTGGCCTGGTTCCTACCGGCATAACAAACCGGTTCCAAAGTAGTCATTACATTGGCAACGTCGGCTCCTCTCTATGAATGGCTGCCGAAAACGGGTGGGAATTGAACCACATGTTAGGCCGGGCAGCAAAAGACAATGCGGCCGAAGCAGCCAGAGTCAAAGATGGGGAAGACCCCTTGTGAGCTGCTTTCAAAGTGTTGGACATGTTAGCCAAGCACAATCTTCTCAGGCTCTTCTGCAGCCCAAAAACTGCATCTTTCTCATTCATATGCCAGCGTGAAGGAGGTCCTCCTTTCTTGGCTGAAGCCAAGACTCCAAGCCAGCAGGGCATAATGTCTGCTGGAGTGACCAGTCTGGCCCGCCACCCTGTATGTGGCTGAAGGAGCCAGCAATCAACCCAAAGCAGCCCACTGGTTTCCTGATTGCTGGATGCCACCAACATGCTTTTGGACCATGGAATTTTGCTTTTTGCCGTCCATGGTCCCTTTCTCTTATGGTGCCTTCTGCCTAGTGTCCTGCATAGTCAGGCGCTGGTGTAGGAGTTTCACCGGACCCTGTGTGTCTTCGACCACAGGTGATCCCGTCCTTCTTGGACCCATAGGCGCCGTTTGATCGCCTCCCCACTCCTCTTGTCGATTGCTCTTAAGAGCCGCAAGGACCGATCACGGTCGTAAGGAACATGCCCCTTGTGCTTTACTATTATTTAGTTATCCTAGCATTAGCAGTTAGACGTGCCATCATGGCCGTCTTATACGTATCTCTCCTGTCTCC